CGTCGCTTTGCAATAGAGAAGTCCGTGAGCTGGAGGACCCTCATTCACGAAAGATTGACATGCAATTAAGTCATGTCCGATAGGATTTCTCCATCAAAAATTTGTCGTTAGGTATATATCACCGTGCTAATCAAGGCTGAATTCTTGCTATCGGCATTAACAAAAGAAACTTGATATAGAATCAAATTGTTTTAACAAAAACAAAGTGTAATTAAATTTTAATAACGTAATGTGTCCTATAATTAATTTTAATACTATGTTATTCTGAAGAAATTCGTAAGAGAATATTAGAAAAAGAGATTTGTATCAAAGACTATTTACCCATCTTGTAAACTGGAAAGACAAAAAGTGAGTATATAAAATATTCAATACAACATAAAATAACAAACTGCGTAAAGTTCGAACAAGTGTCCGTCTTGAATCAAATATAAATTCAAATATAAATAAATAATCAAATATAATATTTTTAATGTTTACACATGCGATGTAGAAAATATCTTCCATTCATTGTTAGGAATTGTACGAGGTATAAAATGACAGAAAAATATGTATGTAATATGTGCACCCTACGAGATATCCCTACGCAGGAATATCCCGTTGTGAAAATTCTGATCCCGCCGGGATGACGTGCGCAGCTTTAGCAGGAACGAATCTCGTATGGTCATTCTACAAGAACAAATGGCACACACTTTCATTGAAATCCCGATATAAAGTGGCTTCCACACTTTCTTCGTTATCTTTTCTTTGCGCGCGATTATCTCATCAGAAACTTTATATTAACTCTGTCAGATTAAATGTAATCTTTTTTTGTCAAAGAACAATACGAAAATACGAAAATCAAAGCAAAAGGTTAATATGTAAAAATTTATAATTATATATAATATAAAATGTGTATGTATAACAACATTATATGTTTTTTAAAAAGATATATCGTCAATCTCAAATATTGAAAATTAATGATCTTCTAATAAAAAAATTGGAATTTCTTATCTCTTCGCATTAATTGTAATGTATATATAATCGCTCTTTTATTTTAATTTATAAAATAAATTTTATTTTGGCATAAAATGTAAAAAAAGACATGTGCATTCCGTTGCATTCACTATAATTTTTGTCTGGTTAAAGGACTTGTGGCGATAGGAAATGAATTCGTAACTCCGATCATTGATACACGTCACAATCTATAACCGATGGTAGAAAACGGCATCGCTGATATTTCCGGCAGACAACGAGTAACCGTAATGTTCAACGCGTTTCCGATCCGGACAACCCGGAGACGTAGTTTATTTTCTATACGGATTCTATACGGATTTATTCGCTTACTAACTTATACGCGCTATCTGTGTCTGCGTTTCCCCGAAAATGCCTCGCACATCGGATACTTTCTAGCTTTCTTAAGAAAAAGGCTCCATTAATCTTAGATAATACTTTTTCATTTGTTGTTCTTGTTATAGACTTCGTAGAACATTCGTGCCAAGCGAAACTATTACATGGGTACCAAAATTTTCAAATGTTTTATTTAACTGAAGAATCCACTCTTTTTTAAATTCCGATTACATTCGAATTTAACTTTTTTATATTTGTTTATATATTAATTAATCTGAAAATTAAAAAAACTAAATTGTTATGATACATCACGTATGTGATATATGGTAGATGAAGTTAAATATAATGAACTCGGTATACATATTAAAGATATCACATTTTCAAATAACGAGATCTGTAGAATTCAATGGAAAATCGTGCGAACCCCTTAATGCATCCTTGAGAACGAAAGCAAAGTCCTATGTCGCAATGAAACATGATGTCGTAAAACGGGTTCTGTCATTCTGCACTCGGCCACAAAAATGTGGCCGAGTGCTTTCAATTGATTGATTACTTAGGAGAGAATTCTTTAGTAGAATCTCATATTAAAGATCATACATCATTCAAATGTTATTTATATTTTTTCAAAAATAAGAAAGGAACAGTTAATTTAAGATCAATTAGAAATAACGACTTAATAATTCGTGGAATTATTACAAAAGATTATGAAAAATTATGGGTAAGCTAACTAAATATAATAAGCAAGATTAATTCATTATCAGAAAAAAAGGGAATGTAATATTATTACAACTTTGTTTTGCAAATGTTATTTTAATAAATGCAATTATTTGCTATCATTAAAGTTATTTTAATGCTAAGAAATAAGTTTAATGATAAGTTTGAAGATAAATATAATACTGAAAAAAATATAAGCCATCAAAATTTTTAGTCAACATTAGTATTGATCGAGACGCGTATCTTTTATTCAAGTTTACGTCAAATTTTGTTTATATATAAAGATACACTGTATTTCTAATAATAATAGTATTTTCAAATTAAGAATTAATTTTTCAAAATTAATTATTCTATCTAGCTTATTATTATAGAATTAATTATTTTTATTAAATATATTATTGATAAATTTTATGAGACGATCGAAGATATGTGAAGAACAGAGAGAAAGAGAGAAAGAAGCGCAAGCTGGTGGGGATTGATGGCAATGTGGGCGGAAAGCGCGGCGTTTCTACTCTTCGTCAGCTGTCCTGTTTGGAGCAGTCAGTATGCATCGTGGCCTCGCCACGTGCTTTTCGCGATCTTTAGATATCCTATGTGATTATGCATTAAGATTATGTTGTTTATGTTGTTGTAACTTGTATTAAGGTAAAAACATTATTCAGAAACGTATTCGTCTAACGTATTTGAGTAATTCCAAAAAATGTCGAAAACATTTTTGTTAACATCGTGACCTTGTTGTGCAAAAGTTTCAAAATGCCAAGAATTCGAACATGCGTGTTTGGTAAGTTTTTAAAAAATTTAACATAGATATTAATGTCTTTACTTTATATACTTTATAATGTCTTTAATTTATGTGATTTTAAAGATGATATTTGTTTGATTTCATATTTACAATAATTTATATAAAATTTAAAAAGTATTTTAAACCTTCTATTTAGAAACATTATTTAGAAATTTAAAAATGTATTCCCTCTTACATTCCCTTTTTTCTAATAATAAACAAACTGCACATTTATTTTTTATATGCTTATTCTGTCTCTTTCTTTACTCTTATTTTTCATCAAAGATAAAATAAAATTTTTTTAATTTAATCGATCTTATAAATGTAGGTATAACCATTATAATTTTAACATATAAATATAAATATCTATATGATTAAAATAAACTTTATATTGTATAATTTTTTTCATACAACGTTTAACACACAAATTGTCTCGTTAATACATATGCAATGAATTTTGGAAAATTATTGACTTATTCAAGGCATTGCATCATATTTCGAGTATTTTTCAATCTCTTATAAAAATAGTATTAATTACATAAATGTTGAAAACAAAAAATATTATAGAAATTTCGTGTAAAAATGAAACTTTTATTTATAATATTATATCCTTCGTAGGATACAATATAATATATACGTACTCTTTTCCATTATTAATTATTCATTATGTTATAATTTGCCTATTACACTTTTAGCTGTCACTCAAGCAAATAGCGGAAGCGTGCACATTTGCGAGCGCGATGCGCTGAAGCGTATTTTAACAGAATTTATTTGATAAGCGAGATGAAGAAATATAAACTAGTTTAACGCATGAAAATTAAAAGTTTTTACATTCAAAATACATAGAAATCTTTAAAAGTGAATGAAATGTGAATGATTATATAAGATATAAATATAAAAAATCTTATTTAAATTAAAAAAGTTTATACATAGCATAAAT